TGTGTGTGTGTGTGTGTGTGTGTGTGTGTGTGTGTGTGTGTGTGTGTGTGTGTGTTTGTGAAAAGCTCTCCCATAATAAATTAAATTAAAATAGTGGTACTCGAGACTAAAAAAATTTCTTGGAATTAACAACGACCACAAATGCTTAAAAAATAGAACAATTAAAAAACAGCAATCCTTATTACCTGAAGATGGAGTGACACTCCGAAACGTTGTAAACAATAAAATTGTTCTATTTTTTAAGCATTTGTGGTCGTTGTTAATTCCAAGAAATTATACAAAATGAGGCTTAGAGACAGTTCGATACTAAAATTACTAAAAAAATTATAACCCTTTTTTGTCTCTTTCCATTTTGGATAAAAATTTAAAGGGTTTTATTTTTTTGCCAACTCATATATACACTGAAATTTTTCATTTACCTTAATATTAGTATCATTATTGTCAAGGCCAGTCCGACCAATGAGAGCGCACATCCAACATAAGTTACATAACTAATTATACCAAGTATTCTCTCATGTTTTGTGGTTACCGCTGGTTTGATAGCCTAAACAATAAATATATGTGATCTTGAAGGTAAGTCCAGTACCTCTCCAATTACCCTATTCCCCCTAGTGGGTTTACAGAGTGCTACCACGATCTGTCCACAGTATTCAGATGTTGGTTTGGGCGATATAAAAAAATCATATTATGATTATTGTCTAGGAAATTATTACGATATTCGATAGTATTGCGATGAATTCAAACAATGCATAGTATAAAAACATATATATTAACATAACACAGCTACATTAGTAACTGTAAGCTCTTTGCGAACAGTAGGGTGGACTGATTTCTTAAAGCATACGGGGGGGGTACTTTAATAGTTTGAGGGTTTCGAACAGATAGAGAGTAGATGAATAGACGTATAGATTTATGTAATTCGATGTATCAATAGTGTTCAAATATAGCAACAATCAATGGACAATCAAACGACTATTTTAATACTGAGATGGATCGTATTGCCGATCTAAAGCAGAATGTGAAGGAATGGAACGAACGACTTATTATGCTTGTACCGGATATGCATATGATGTACGACAGGAAGACTCCGTGAGTAACGTTGGATTACGGTAAAGGTCTCACGCTAGGAATATTTCGCAGCGTTCAAGGGCTGGTTCCAACACCTCAGGCTACTCAAGTAAACCACCCCGCCCCCCCCCCCCGTAAGCTTTAAGAAATCAGTCCACCCTATTGCTACGCAAAGAGCGTCTTACATTTGTTCGTCAGTACCGTCAGTAATCTTTTCTTCGTTTTCTTCGTTAGCGTGAATAATTAATCCTTACTGATCGGTCGTACTGTTCAATCTGATCCATCACGCAAGCCCTCCCTGCATGTGACGTAACAAATACATGCCCAGAGGCTTGAGTGACGTTTCAAACTAACATTCCGGCTCCTTAAGTACAGTATACTAGTGCCTTTATAAATGAATAACAAACTGTTTGAAACTGAAGACTCATGCATAACAATAATATAGCGTCATATTAATGTGTAAATGTTATCTTATACTCATCTTGTCTTCGTTGTTCACTGCGTTGCTTCCAACACGACGATCTTGCAGATTGGCCTTTCCATTGCGCAGCAATAGGGTGGACTGATTTCTTAAAATTACGGGGGGTTTTATTTGAGTAGCCTGAGGTGTTGGAACCACCCTTTGAACGCTGCGAAATATTCCTAGCGTGAGACCTTTGTCGTAGTCCAACGTAATTACTCACGGAGTCTTCCTGTCGTACATCATGCATATCCAGTACAAGCATAAGTCGTTCATTCCATTCGTTTACATTTTGCTTTATATCCTCAATACGATCCATTTCAGTATTAAAATACTCGTTTGATTGTCGTTTGATTGTTGCTATATTTGGACATTATTGATACATCGAATTACTGTCGTTCCAATTGAAGTGTTCCTCAAATATTGATTCAATACATTACCTCAGGCTGACCAATTCATTTCATCAAGTTCCTCGAGATATTCATACACTTCCTGTGAAAGAGCCAATTCCAAGTATTTGATCATTTCTGGTCACTTCCTTTCTATTTATGATTGGTTAGTTGCACAAACAACGAAGGTGATTGGTGCATTCAAACTATTCAACAGG